CTTTCCCTTTGTTATGCTGTTGCTGAGAACTGGCAATGAGGCTAACCTGTTTCCTGGCCTAGGACAAATATTCTCAGACATTTAAATTTATTTTTAAGTTAATATTGGGGTAAAACTTAGAATTCCAATTATATGTATTCTAGAACTCTGGTCCAAAAAGACAAAGGCTTTTGTTCCATTCTGTTTCTTCAGATTAGGGCTGCTAGATTTAACAAAGAAAAATATAGGACACCCAGTTAAACTTGAATTTCAGGTAAACAACAACTAATATTTTTTTAGTATAAGTATGTCCTAAAAATTGCATGTGATACACTTATACTAAAATATTTCATTGTTTATAAGTCAAATATAACTGGACATATTGTATTTTATGTGGCAACTCTACTGTTGAAGGCTTTGTCCAGAAAAATATCTTGAGCTGGATTTAGAGACAAGCCAGTGTCACCTATATTTTCCCATTTTAGGGCTGATCTTCTCTTTGGGCAAAAAAGGTGGGAAAAAGTTTTATTTTACCAATGGTGAAAAGATGACCTTTGATGAAGTGAAGACTCTGTGTGCCCAGAAGCCTCTGTGGCCATTCCTACTAATGCTGAAGAAAACAAGGCCATCCAGGATATAGCCAGTGGAGGGGCCTTCCTGGGCATCACAGATGAGGAGACTGATGGCCAGTCTGTGAATCTGACTGGAAAGAGGGTGACCTACCAAAATTGGCATGATGGTGAGCCCAATAATGCTGGTTCTGAGGAACATTGTGTGTTGAACATTGTGTGTGTCACATGGAATGACATCACCTGTTCTGCCTCCTTTTTGGCTGTCTGTGAATACTCTGCCTGAGGGAGCATGACCCTCAGGCCCTCCTGTCCCTTTGCTCATCTCACAGGTCAACAGTCTGGTTTGAAAGATAAATCTATATCAATTTCCCATACCCAGTATTGAGTTGCCCCTTTGAGGGGAATCAGAGACAATGAGAAGAATGGATTGAGAATGATGAGATGTGGGAGTGAAAAGTGAGAAGAGACTGATAGTGGCCTAAGAGTTTCTGGTTCAGACCCATTCACTAATAATAATCACTAACAACAATAACTACAAAATAATAATAGTAATAATAGCAGCAGCAGTACTAGTAGTACTAAGAAGAAATTTTTAAATGTTTACTATAAGTTAGGCCCTACATTATGTGTAATACATTAATTATCTAATTTAATTAGGCTGCTAATTTTTGTTTGAGTAGTGTTATCTAAGGTACAAAACTAAAACGGATTTATTTTTCCCTTTACTCTAAACACTTGTATTCTGTTGAGCCTTTCTTTCTCTTTGGGTCGAGAGCTCCCCTAAATGACATCTTCCCAGCCTAATTCCATAGCTTTTCTGCCAGTCTCAGGTATTAGTAGGATTCATCCCTGATCAGGGAACTAGATCCCACATGCTGCAACTAAGAGTTTGCATGCCGCAACTAAAGATCCCGCATGCTGCAACTAAAGATCCCACGTGCTGCAACTAAAAAAAAAAAAGAGATCCCGCATGCCATAACAAAGATTCCTCACTCAGCAACGAAGATCTCATGTGTTGCACCTAAGACCCGTCGCAGCCAAATAAATAAATCAATAAAATAAATATTTTTTAAAAAAGAGAATACATCTGAGAGGACCCCTAGTCCTACCTTCTCTCTGCCCGCTGCCTGACTCTTTCTTTACTATGTTTACAGGAAAGATAGCATTTGGATAATATAAAAAATATGTTCAGACTTCTTGTTTCAGCTCCAACATGTGATGGATCTGAAAGTCAAACCCCCCATTCTCACAACAGCAAAAAAAGCTAAACAAACTTAAAATAAATGACTTTTCTTAGACCCTTCAGAGAATTGAGTTCACAAGGCAAACTGTCTAAAGATGAAGTCCCTATCCCCCTGTAGTAATTCAAGACTGAAAAATTTATTTTAATTTTTCCTGATGATCCCATTTTTCATTTTCTGATTCTGCTCAGGCTGAGCCAGAAGGGTGTCACTGACATCTTGTGGAGCCTGAGCCCTTCTTCAGCAGCCCAGCCTAGACCACCTGCCCTTTAAGTGGATGTGGCTCCTCCAGCCCCTGTAAGTCAGGAATGGTGACACTTCAAACCGCCCCCCCACCCCCACTCCACAATTCCATGCTTTGAGGGGTTGGAATGACTTATAAAAAGGTTACAAGCCACATCCATGAATATGAAAGAACTCCACATAGAAGCAGTAACTAGAGGCAGAAGCATACAAAAAACAGAAAAGAAAAACCCTCTCAAACCCATTTTCACCGTGGTGACACTCAATCAGTGACAGTGCTTAGGCCACACTGAATTTAAACACATTTGGGGAAATTTTCCCATTTTTCGGTCAGTTTTATCAGAGTTCCTATGTCTCAGGGACAAATCAGCTTCAAATACTGCCTTTTCTCTCAGTGAGTGGCTTTTGAGATGCTGTAACATTTGAGAAAAGTTAACATGTTAGGTCCTGAGATCCTAGCCTTTATTTTCCTGTGACCACACCCTCCCTGTATAACCCTTCACCCATATTTGAAATCTCCTAATCTCAACTTTCTCTTTTCAGTGCAAAATGTGGCACGGGGTCTTCCCGTGAGCAGCCTCCACTCCCTCTAGAGGGCAGAACATCCCACACAAAACATGGGGCAACCCTCCCAGTAGAGCTCATGGCTTCATCCTTAGACACAATGGCCTCCTTTCTCTCAGTTCCCACCTTGCAGATCCCATACCTACCACAGCCCGGTGCCTTGGAGCCACTGCTGCTCCCTCCCCTTCCATTATGCTCTAAGCCTGTGAGGCCTCTCACCTTGATTAGGCTCCCTTGAGTCCATGTTGGTGTCTGTTGGACAATTATTCTCATGGACCTGAACTGTGCTTCCAGAGCCCTTGGGGAGGACCTGCAAGCTTTCTGTCGTGGGATCTCTCCAAATCTGCTGTCTTACAGCTTATCAAAGCCTCATTTGACATCAGAAATGTTCTTTTCTGTCATATTGTTTTCTGTTTGTATTTTTTCTCTCTCTATCTTTCCCTCTCTCTTTCTTTCCCTCATCTCCATCTCTCCTGTTTAAGTTTTATTGCATAATACCCGAAAAGAATCCTGGTTTATACTGAACAGATACTCTTTGTGACTTGGGGTTAGGCAAAGTTTCTTAGAAAGATCAGAGAAATCAATAGTCATTAAAGGAAAACATGATAAATTCCATCTCATCAAAATTAAAGGTTGATTTAATTTCTCAAAAATTAAGAAAACATATAAGTACAGTATGGCCTGGAGAAAATATTTGTAAAACATATATCTCAAAGAATACCCAGAATACAGAAACAACTCCTACAAATCAATAATGAAAAAAACAAAAATGGCGGGGTGCTCAGGGACCAAAGGGTGAGAAATGAAGCCAAGGGCAGGATGTTCTTTGTGTCCTCAGCCAGTGATTCCCATTCCCTCATGTTGTGAGTTGAATTATGTCCCCCAAAAAGACATGTTCAAGTCCTAACCCCTGGACCTATGTATGTAACCTTATTCGGAAAATAGGTCTTTGCTGATGTAATAAAGTTAGGATGAGGCAATACTTGATAAGGGTGGGCCCCAATCCACTGACTGGTGTCTTTATAAGAAGAGGAAATTTGGGGCACAGAGAAACAGACACACACAAGGGAGAATGTCATGTGTCAAGGGGGATAGAGTGATACATCTACAAGCTAAAGAATGCCAAGGATTGCTAACAACCATTAGAAACTAGAAAAGAGGCATGGAAGAGATTCTTCCTCAGCACCTACAGAAGGAACCAGTCCTACCAATGCCTTGATTTCAGACTTCTACCCTCTAGAACTGTGAGAGAAGAAATTTCTGTTGTTTTAAGCTACCCAGTTTATGTAATTTATTATGGCAACCCTAGGAAACTAATACACTTAGCAACTCAGGATACTTCTAGTGTCAACATGATAGTAGACTAGAGTGTTACCTGGTGAACAGCATCCTGAGTTTCAATCTTCTGGTGGGAGAGAGGGAGGGAGGGACAGAAAGAGAGAGAGAGAGAAACACTAAGATATTCAGTGAGCTATTTATCTTTGTCATATGGCAGGAGACTCTGTCAGACGCTTTCCAGGACCTCCAGAAACAGTCACCCCTGGGCCTGGGCTCACAGGTCTGACCACAGTCAGGGTACCTCCCTACCTGGGGATTCATGAGAAGGGAGTGGGCTACTGGAGACCATGTGATTCAAGGGCTAGGACCTGCCAGCGCCCACCAGGATAATGGTGGCTTTGACTTTGACACCACATGAGGATGTTTTCATAGGACTAAAGGTCTGGACAAGAAGCTGAAGGTCACCCTCAGGAAAACCTTAGGCTTTTAACAAGAGGTGAAGGGAAGCTCTGGGGTCCAGGGAGTCCATGTAGCCCACAGCAGGACTCGGTCACTGCAAACAGAGTAAGTAGTGGGGAGTCGGCTGGGAGAGGACCAGGAAAGAGCCAGAGGTGTTCACAGCTTGGATGCCACATAATTTAAATCTTTATAAAGGATAGAATCAGGAAGGGACAAAAAGTGAGAAAAATTCTATCTCAGCAGAGGTAGAAGAGGTTTCTGAACACTTATTATGTATCACGTTTTGTCCTCAGGAGGTTTGTACCAGGTCCTCATATAACATTACTTTACAGATGAGGAAAAGAGAACCCGACAGGTTGGGATACTTGCAGAGGGCACACAGTTACTATGAGGTAGCTTTAGGAAGCTGCAAATTCAGAGCTTACTCCAAACTCATTTCATCAAGCATATTCTCCATATGTTATTTCATACCCCAGGGTCACAAATAGATTCAGATGACTACTCTCATTTTTTTAATCCCAGTTTCTGGTCAGTGCTATGTTGTAGACAGGACCTTCCTCTCTACAGGGTCTTCTATTTCATGTCCCACTCAACTTAGCATCACTCAGAGATGCCAAAGGAGGAGTCACAGAAGACGTTGATGAGGACAGGTGGCCAAACTCACAAGGAAAGACAGCATGACACACACAAAAGATGATCAGGCAGGCCCCTACACACACACACACACACACACACACACACACACACACCCAAGAAACACTCAAGGAGACAAACACACATATACAACAAACATGCATACACATATACACATAGATGCATAGACACCCACAGACCCTGATCAAAACCCAAAGTTTGGCCCCTGTGTTCTCCAGCTCTGACCCTGCAGGATTACATGGTCATGGTAGGAAATAGGGCCTTTGCCAGCAACAGGCAGTTGTTTGGCAGCCCAGTGAAAACTATGTGTCCATGTTGGTACTACCATTGCCACCTTGTGAACGTAGAGGAGAACACAGACATCATCAGCTTCTTGAAGAAGGTTAACACTCATACTTACTTGGGACTGAGAGTGGAGTGGCCCCACATCTAGAAAGTTCCTCAACATGGTTAGGACCCATGTGCACCGCATCATTTGGTACCCAGCAGTGACTGATGGAAAGAGAAGAGAAAAGTGTGCGGAGATTTGTCATGAAAGGACATAAACTGTGTGTAGTCCCATCTCACTCTCTTTGAGTTCCACATGTATCTCTCTGAGTTCCACATGTATCAGGAGGGTCAAGATAGTTAATGTTTGTCCTGAGAAGGGACTCTCTCAGGCCCTCCCTCAGGGCACCAAAATCTGAACGGTAATTTTCAGTTTGAGTCCACTTAGTCTGGACAATTTCATGTGATAAGTAATGAAGTGAGCTGAATTATGGCCCTCAAAGATATATCCATGCCTCAATCCTTGGAACCTGAGAATGTTACCTTATATGGCAAAAGAGTGAATAATACCTCATAT